CCCACCTTCCCAGCCCCCCCAGCAAAAAAGTCAGGGAAATTTGTTTCTACCCTGGATCCAATTGGTTTTTCCTATGGGTAATTTCCTATGGATAAAACGACAAAGGAAATGTCTGATTAAAGAGCGGAGGAACAGCCGGAGCTGTCGGCTTTGCAAGGCAGCAGATGGCTCCTCGGTTTTCCAAAGTAATTTCACGATTTCAAATTGACTTTTTAAGGATACGGATGAGACATAAATATAGGCTATCAATCTGTTTAAAAATTTCATTCACATAATGGAAAATTTTTTCATTTATTAAAAATATCACATTTTGAGACTAGAAACAGTAAAGTGCATGAAAAGTTTTTAAAATATAAATTCAAGAAAAATCTTATAGCAGCAAAAAAGCAGAATAAAGAAAAACTTAAAAACACAGACACAACCTTTTCCTATTACTGTGCCTTTTTTTTTTTTTTTTGACATCAAGCAGCCAACCAATTGTTCAGAAAATTGCATTATGTTTAATGCCTCTTGAGGCACAAGGTTTTGAACTGGCCACCTCGAGCATAAAAAGGGAAAAAAAAAAAAAAGGAGGAAAAAAACCCCAAAAACGATTTCCAACACATCTAAAGAGCATTAACAGTTGGGAATGAACCAGCAGCTTTTTAATTCGACCCTGACCGACAACAGAAAGAAAGAGCATTAAAAACCTGCGATGGCTATTTGGCAACTAGGGTCAGGAAAAATAATCCAAGGAATGATTATGGCTACCACTCTCTCCCCCAACGAAAAAAGCGTTCAGACAGCTACTCCCCACGCGCTTCGGAGACAGAAGTAAGACCATATCCAGCGGCTTTTTCCTGTACCCTTGGCGTAACCAGGTAATCCAAAATTTCTCACCTTTGCAACTGAGCTTCGGACAAGGGAAGCTGGAACGGAGCTGGAACTTCTTTATTCGCCCCGAACCCAAACGCTTGCCACTATTTAAGTGCGATTTCTTGCCGTTCCTAAGTCCTGCTCCCAAACGACGCTGCTGAGCAGCGTGCCACCTCGGTTTGCCGAAGCAGGCAGACAGCTCTGTGGACCGGCGATGGTCTGGATCACCCAAGAGCTGACCCAGAAAGGGCCAAGTTCTTCAGAGCGCCAAAAAAAAAAAAAGAGTTACCTGCCTGGCTGCCGAGCAAGCAATCTCGAGGGCATTAAATGCTCAAATACGACTTCTTGTGTGCTGTAAGGTCATCGCAAACTTCATCGTAAATGAAATTCCGTCAGGAGAATTTAGACCTCAAGTGTCCCTACGGCTATTAAGCCATCTTTGGTTTTTCTTATATTAGTCAGATAACGGGCAGGGCCACACGGCTAATAATTTATAGTCAAATATTAAGTGCTTTGCTAATGTGCAAAATTTATTTTGGATGCAGAGTTCAGTCTCCATTTTGGGTTCGGACAAATAGCATTTCTAAGATACTTCCTACAAGACAATCATTTCTACTTTTGTTTTTCTTTCTCCTAAAAGGACGGCTCATTTTGCCATATTCTGGAAAAAGCATTCTCTTTAAATATGCTAAAATGCAAGTTTTTAATCTCATTTGTCCATTTATAAGTGCAGCTTCCTACTGAAAAGAAAAAGCTTGCCAGTTAAAAAAAAAAAAATTAAATTAAAAACCTGGAAAGGGAATAATACTTTGGTTCCAGCCCTAGTGCCAAATGATACCAATATGCACCAAAAATGTGCAAAATCTCATATCAAACACATAAGGAAAGGAGCTTGAAGAAGCAGCTTAAGGTTGGCCATACTTCACTCCTATATACTTTGATTTACAACTGTACAGGTCCATGACAACAGGTCCTTGCCCGCAACGGGGCAGGGCTCCACTACCTCCTGCTGGGCAAGTGAACGCCGTTGACAAGAGGCAGGAGCGGAGGATGGAGTTCGAGTTGTGTTAACAGTGAGAAGTGGTCTGAAGGGATGTGAGGGTGTGGACACCCAGTGATGTTGTTCTCAACCAGCCACTGAGGGTCCAAAGGCCCCAGGACACCAAGCACGTTCATGTGAGTGTTGGAATAGAAAATGTAGTCAATCACACCCTAGGGAGAAAGAGAAACACGACAGTGAGAACAGATCCGGGTCCCGGCAACCCGTACTCGACTTGCCTCTCGCTGCGATTCGGAGGAGGACGTACAGCACCGGGACGAGCGCAATAAACGCATACACCTTTTTGCGTTCAAAGCGCTGTCTCCGTTTTAAGTCACTGACCAGAGTCAGCTCCAGCAGCTTTAAAACGCCAACGCATCTAGGACTTTTGTGTGTTAGGGAAGCGTCCGGCAAGCGTAGGAACCGGCGGTGAGGCACTTACAGCAACAGAGAGAAAGGCAGCCGATTGCCAGAGAATTAAGACGGCCTCCTGGAGAGACCAGGTCAACGTCTGCCATTTCAGAAAAAAATCGCTGCTTACTTTGAAATCAAAAGTGTAATTGGTGTAAGGCATCAAGTTGTTTTCATAGGCGCTCTTGAGTTGGAAGCCATGCGTAATTCTTCCTTCAGAAGCCCCGTTTTTCCCATTGCCGCTGAAGTTCATGAGACACTCGTTGTAACGCAACTCTTTGAAGTCCTTGTGGTTGTCAGCTACTATGCCATTGCTTAGATATTCCACCACACCTGTTCGCAAAGCAAACGGCTCCGTGAGTCGCTTTGAAATACAGCGTTCGTGGCATTACGACGTAGGCGTTAAAAACCAAAAAGAGACCCCCTGAAGTCAGAAGGAAAAGAGCTTCCACCTAAGTGGAAATCCACCCAGCGGCCGTCTTGTCCGTGTCTGAGAGGTAAGCAGCTTTCTGACCTGCAGCCAAGCAGCAGAGGCTCGCCAGCGGTTTTGGTACAATTTTTTAGGATTACGGCAAGACCACAGTATATGTACTAACCCCGGGAGTGCTAGAGAAGCAGCTTTCATATGTGTTCCTGATATTACAGTATTAAACATCACACAGCAAGTCCATCTCTTTAGAAAAAAGTTTTCAGGTTACATCAGGAACTCACCACATTCCCGCTGATTAGTGCCGCTCAAGGCAAGGCTATTTGTTTAGCGATTCGTTTTAAGATCTTTTTGTGCTTTTCTCCACATCTTTTAAGGCATGGCCAGCTCTTCTAGAGTGTACAGCTAATCACAAAAAAACAATCTACTCAACCAGAGGGCTTGCGTTTGCTTTATTCAGATTTTGAAAGGCAGCTGTTAACTAAGAAAGCTTTCATCAATACTTAACCAAGGAAGCACCAACCACCAAATAACCCTCAGAGGAGAAGAGGATTCAAGCGCTCTAAAAAAAGAAGTTACATTAAGAAGGAATCAGTCCTACCTGAATCAGGCAGTGAGTTAAGATCTGCACACAGCACCAGAGGGATAGAATTAGGATCTGCTGTTGGGCTACCAGGCCTGCTTGAGGCTTTCTCAAGGATATTTTTCAGTTCTGAGACAAACATCATAGTCTGAATGAGTTTCACATCTGAGTATTCAGGGTCCCAGTGCATGTGGGCATTGGCCACTATGAGCAGCTGTTTGTCCACATGAAGTGATTTCATACCTAGATAAATAAATACATTTTTTTCAGTGAAAAGGCTGATTATGTGAAGACAGCCGATTCCCCCTCGTTATGTTCAGGGCCTAGCTACTGAGAGCTTCAGACGCGCTAGCGCACGGGCGTACGCTCGTTGCTGGAAAAAGGCATTTCTTGAACCCTTGCTCCCTTCTAAATCAGCAACACTCACGTATTATCACTCGATTCAATCTCTCCCGATAGCCGCCATACAATTAGGATTTTATTCCATCTCTACTGATCAACTGCATGTGTTAACATCTCTTCTAAACGCTTCCCTCCTCTTCCTCTCCACTTCTCCGGGACACATCTCCTCCAGAACTCTCCAATCCCCAGGCACTAAAGGGCACTATGAACTGAAAGGTGAAAGTGGTCATCCCTTGACTTTTAAACCACGTACCACTATTCAGTGTGTAAGGCACAGGAGGGTTTCCTGACTTGTCTCTGCCACAGTATGGCAGTTTGGTCCCTTGGAGAAAACTCGAGCCTGATTAAATGAACGCAGTTCGAACGTAGCTGCTGGAAAACACTACAGCTGTTTTTACTATTTATCTGAGAAACAGTACTCAAAAAGAGGGGACATAAAGTTACAGGCAGCTTCTTCCTGTCCTGCAATTTGGACATCCTGCTCCTTACACGAGAAACAAGTCATCAAAAAACCAGGCACACAAACAGAGCAGGGCGGCAATTCTAACTGTCTTGACGTCGTCTGCTGCATCTGATCAACCTTAATGAAAATGTGACAGTCAGTCAATCAACTGGCCTCAAAAGATACCTGATAATCTCATTCTTCACATCAATACATCAGCACTGTCATGTAATCACTGGGGGAGGATGGAAGGATTCAATAAGGATTTAAAAAAGAGACTTGAAAATAGAAACCGAGCATTTCCAACAACTATTGGTAAGAGCATCTGCGTGCAAACATACTGACCTTGGAAAAAATTTATCAAGTAGAATTTAATCGTCAAAGTAAGCAAGGACAAAAACTCGAGAGGAGAAAGTCAGACGTTGTACGTATGGAAGAAAGTGCAGCTAAAGCAGGAAATCACGTCACCTATGCCCGTTTTAGCTTCCGACAGACTACCATTTCTCAGACTAGCACAATGAACAGCGTTCGCTCTTCTGCAAGTATTTCGTTACCATCACCGTGGCAGTAATGTTCTACAGAATCACATTACGTAAGGAGTCATTCACGCCTTAAGTGGAACCGAACAATTAATCCGTAAGATAACCGTGGTCATACTCACTTGCTCCAAACAATTCTTTGTGCACCTCTAACACCACAGCAACTCCAATGTTGTCCTTCGTCATCACTCTGTTTAACATAGCTTCCGAACCTTCCGAGTTCGCCATTGCCACCTGATTGAACTCCACCGTGTGCTTCTGCACCAGGGTAAATCTGAGTAAGCACACAGAACCGCATGTAAACACATCTGACTTAGAGGTATTTTAAAGGCATGGCTTGCATGTGAACTCCGGTCCTCCACAACCACGGGGAGAGCCTGTAGGACAGGGTGAGGTGCATCTCTTCTGTCCTTTCCTTCTAATAAAGGAAAACCAGTTCTAGGAAGTATCACCAAGTCAGGGCAGAGCTCTCCATCTGGCAAGGGAGGTTCTCTCCTAGGAGATGAGATATCTGGGGTCTGGGAAGCATTTGCTCTTGTCAGTGTAACAATCATCTGAGAGGCCTATTCAGAGCAAAGCACAGAGGTTATCACAGCTCCTCAGGGGAGTGTCCAAGGCAAAAAATTAAGATAACATGGTAACTAAAGGCTTGTCTTTTCTTTTGGGCAAATGTGTTACTAAAGAGCAGCGTCTTTCTCACCGCTAGCTACCACCATTAGTTTTGTGAAAATGTGTTTTCATTCCCTTCTGGCCTTAAAGTGCCCCAAAACATCTAGGTTCAGGACAACCTGAAACCTTCCGCTTGAATGAAAGGTTTTGGGTTTTTTTCCCTCACCTTAGCAAACAGAGATAAGTTTAATTACTATTAACAGACAAATTGAGTTCTTCTTCTGTTTTTTTAATAGTGATAGCCAAAGCGTAATAACCTGTTCTCTACATAGCCTTGTTAGTAGCAAGGTTTTAAAAACATCAGTTGTTTGTTTTCACAAGCTTTCTCTATTCAGAACCAGGTCCATTATTTTTATACACAAGCTGAAAGGCATATTTTTGTCTCTGAAAGCAACGAATGCTCAGAAAGGGGCTAAGATTTTGTGAAACTTCCACTCTAATTACTGAAACTGCTCGGAGGGAATATTCAGAAGGAGCTTGTGAGTGGTGCAACGTGAGCACAGTCCTGGGAGCAGTCTGCACAAATGAGCAGCGTGATGCCAGCACCCCCTCCTCCCTTCCCAAAAGTGTGATGCTTCTAGTGTAGCAGAACTTTATGGATCAGGTATTCAAAAATTACCCAGCTTAGAGCAGAGAATATTCTGTGATCCTCTGGCAGCAATACATCTTTTAATACCTGAAGATTAAGTCAGCACGGCTTACGGATCTTCAAAGATTAATCTTAGAGGGGTAAAATTTTATGTCAAGCAAGGCAACAGTTTGTAAAGGTGAGATAGTATTAGTAGATCAACCAAAAAGTGCAAGAATAAGGCGTGTTCAGTTTTTATTCATGCTAACCCCCCTACAACGTTCATGTTTCTTAACAGATATCTTTGTTCACAGTCTGAAAGAAATGGAAAGACTCTGTTGCAAATAACCAGAGCAGCACAGGGAGGAAGGAGGATCATTCTTTGTAGTGAACTTCATGCTTAGTTTTATAGCACGGTAATTTGGTTACCATACATCCTGAGCGAGGAAGGCCTTCAGACATAAATCAAACTATTTTTAAATGCTTTTAAGAAAAGCTGCTTTTGCCCCTTACTTTTCTGTTTTGAAGAATATTGCACAGCCATCCACATGCTTTTTCTCCTGCTCGGACATGATTTTGGCACGTGACTTTGGAGAAAAGAATCCGTCGTATCCTCGTTCTTTCAAGGCTGGCAGAAAAAGGGTGAAGTATTGCTCTGTTTCCACTTCCTGGAATTGAACACAAATATCCGAGAGTAATAAAGTCAAGTAAGCCCCTCCTATCGCCGTACAGCAACTTGTGCTTGTCTTGGCTTGCCGTCGGCAACTTTTACCAACGGCAAAGGCTCGTGTTTGCACAAATCATGTCACTTCCTAGATTAACGGCCTGATGGAAACAGGTTCGCGTTCCTCGATACCCTGGAATCCCCCCAAAGGAGAAAGTGACAGGGGTATTTTGAATACCAGCAGGAGATTACACCTGCTATTTTTGACATATGAATGCGGGTACTGTACTAGGTTAAAACTGCTTAGAGGTCTATAGATACCCAGCAGCAATTAATATTTAACCTTGAGAGCTCCACCTTAAAAGGGTCTCTCACTCCTCTATAGCAATATACTTTCTTTGCAGGAACATTTGACCTCCAATAGGGTTCTGCTGAGCTTTTCAGAACAAGATAACTATTCTCGTCTTGTGCACGGTTTTTATTTACCAGAGCTTGCTTAGAAAACAAAAGATCACATTAAAGACAGAAGTGCTCAACTGTACCAAACATTTGCAGTAAACTCCTAGCAACACAGCAGGACACAAGTATCAATCCAGCAACCAATTACTTAACTCTGAACATGTTGGTCCCCTCAGTTTTCAGTGAGATTATTTTTGAGAAACATGTATTTTAACATCTGTACTGGGCAGGAGCGGACGAGAGAGAGTGGCATTTGGGGATTTATCATTCTACAGTCTGCCTTCGTGCAGTAAACTCCAAAAATCAGCTTAGCTGATTTTATCTCAGTTCCTTTATCTTATTTCATAAAACACCGGATAATATGTGAACAAGGAGCTGCGCGCACAGTTTGCACTGGGAAGCCCCAGAGTCTGTGAGCAGGCAGGAGAATACGGTGTTTTCAAGAGAACGTTACGTTCTAAAGGTGGAAGTTAAATGTTTTCTGTTTCTGATGTAAAACAAAGTTATTACCTGAAGACTAATGATATCTGCATCACAGTTGACTATTTCTTCCATGATTCCCTTCTTTCTGTACTCCCAGTTCAGTGCCCAAGACGGGCAGTAGCCATAGAGCTGCCGGGTGGCGTATTTATCACACAACACATTGTAACACATAACTGTGAATGAAGCTAGAAGGAAACAAAGACGGGGAAATGACGTCAGCTTCTGACGATAATGAACGCTGAAGTTATTCAAGTCAAGACACCATATCTTACGCGGTCTATTTTGGAGGGCCTACCAAACACACGTCAGTGGGCTTATTCCACTGCGAGTTTCATCAACAGGAGTAAAAAAGGCCCTGCTGAGCCAGCAGTTGCCATGTAAAACCAAAATCTTCCTGAAAAAAAATCAGCATTACTACCAAAGCACGAAGGAGTCATGATTGTAACAAACCAACGCAATCCCATTTTGCCGTTAATTCTTTATTTCCTCTGGGCAAGGGGTAATTTACTGCTGAGCAACAATTAGGAACGGTCTCTCTGGAGCTGGGGGGGTCGGGGACAGGCAAGGCGCGCCATTTCAGCAATTGAGTCAAACGCCAGGGTCAAGCACTTTAAATGCCCTGATACAGCAGCCTCGGGCCAGAATGACCTGCACAGTTCTAAAACAAAATCAAAACCAAACTAATAAGGAAGGGCTACTATGTCATGATACGGCAGCATCAGAGAGAAACGTTGCCTCAGAAAGCTTCGTTTTTAGGCACTTTAATTCCAAAACATCAGTACGGTTTTCCTAGCGCTTGTTTAATGTATTTTTAATTGACTAGAAAAACATAGTGTTCCTCTTTCCTGTGGTTAAAGTGTATCAAGTCCAAGTGAGAGAGAGGCCTGGGAGAGGGCGGGCAAGAGAAGGAGAAATGAATTCATAAATCAGCAAGCACCTAATATATTATTTGCTGGCACTGAAAAAAGGGGAGAAGTCAGTATGTCTCTCATCAGGTCATTCAGCCTGAAATACGGCTCTTTCACGCACAAACCTTTTAGCTGCCTCTTCAAACATCACCTGAGATTTTAAACCAATTAAAAAGAAAAAAAAGTAGGTAAATGCAACATCCTAGCACCATGCCACTGGGAAAAGACTGCTCATATTTGCAGGGAATTAAGTGAGGTTTTACTATGACGTTAACCGAGAGCCTGTCAGTGCCTCTGCCAGAAGCCTGCGGCTAGTGTTTCAACACGGATAACATAATTCAGCACACACAAATATATTTTTCAGTATAACAGGAGCTGGAAATGTTATCTGTGAACGTCCAGATGTTTCATTACAAAGACTAAAAATACTACGTAAAAATATCTTTTGTTCTTTTACGAGACAAAGTTTGATATAGCCAAGACCAAGCAGAAAGGCATTTGCAAACAGGGCTAAGACAGTTGCACAGACTGAAGTCAAATCAAAGATTGCTGGTACAGTTTTGCAGATTAATCTGTGTTAAACAACAAAACAGCTGCTTTTTTATCTTCATAGTCACAGAAGATTTCTGCCCTTCATTTGTTTCCATTTTGTTATAACAACCTATTGATTTTTTCTTTCTGAAAAGCTTCTTGCACTGGATCTTGCCATTTCTACCATGAAACATCCCACAGCTCACTTGCTTAGTGCAATGCTGTTTAATGACTCCAAAATTCTGTTTCCGCTCAAAGTTTGAGTAAAAAACAAAAATCAAGTCAGTAGAACTGCACTGAGATCCTAATCTGCAAGGGAATTTGAAGCAGGGGTGGTATACAGGTTTTTTGGCACTTCTTCCCTTTCTCTCTATTTTTTGCTGGTTTGCCATTCTTGAAAATCAAACAGTGACAGGTGATCTTAACTACTGCTTTAACTTCCTTAACATACTACTGAGTTAAGTCTTGAAGACCTGATAACCTGGGGTTTCCAAAAAAAAAACACGGAGAAGACTGCCAATATTACTCGTGTTGGTTATTAATTGGCTCTTATTCAATAACAATATTAGCATTCGTGTTCTTTATACATGCTCACGCGTGCTTTTTGAGGGCTACATTCAGGAAGAATAGACAGTGGATTCGTACCTACTGCGGGAAAGCTGCCTCTTGCACTTTACCATACGCAACAATAGAGGGCATTAAACTAACTGCGGTACCAGGCACTCCACGTGTTCTCTTGCACATAAGGGACTCCTCAAAGTCTAAGGCTAGGCAGCGTTGGTGTGGACACTGCATTTGTACACAGTTATTTTACAGCTCTTCTATATACTATGAAATAGCACAAAAAAAAAAAGGAAAGCTCTTTTGCTGGGGCCTCACTGGCTGCAGCAACTATGAAAAGACCTAACATGGAAAAGGAATGCCTGACATCACATCAGAATTGGAAAAAAAAAAAAAAGATATTTACAGCCCCAGTTTTGAAACACAGCCCAGCCACGCGCTAATTATTTTGTAACAAATGAACACAAATGGCTGTTTGCAGTCTGATCCAGGTAACACAGAAGACTTCACTGAAAATAAAGCCAAAGAAAAATTCTCCGGTGCTTCATTGTCTGAACACAGGAAAAAGAACCACAGATTTACCTGAGGGCAGAATTTGGTCTCGTTCTTTTAAAGTAATCCATGGCCTCGGAGGCAGCTGCTCTGGATGAACTAGAAAATGTAAAGCAGTGATTAATTCAGAGTTTATTGTTGTTAAGCTACAGTTTCTAAACCAAACTGATGACTCAACAGGACTGTTTCACCCTGTGCTTTGCAACCCCGACTCCCCAAGCCTTTTTAAGCTCCAGGGGAGACAAGGATATACAAAAATCATCTAAAGGCCAGACAAAGCTAACGATAGTAAGAGCAAATTGCCAGCTGTATGATTCCCAATTATTTTTCTCTCTTGCTTTTAAAAGAAACACTGAAAGAGTCCTGTACTTTGAATATGCTGCTTAACAAGGAGTGGGAAATCTTGCAGTGGTTCAGCATCCTATACTGCCTTTCCCCAAGAACCTTACCCTACATCACAATCATGCAATTCACACTCTCCAGTTACGAAGCTAGATACCGGATTTTTAGGCAGCATAAGAGAAAGACCATGTAAAACGCTGGTGGTTTTACAATACAGTAGAGTTCAGCTGTGAGCAGTTTTCAACATAAACACAGCTACCATTAAAATTTAATAATTAGGAATTCTTGAAATGCAAAATCCGATCAAGTCCGGTGGATTTCTGCTATCCGATCTGCACATGAATTGCATTTTGTAACAAAGCGCACTAAGTAACAGAACGGCAAAATTTAAGGAACACGCTTCCTAAAAATACATTATAAAACTCATTGGCACGTAGCGTGTTTTCCAGACACAGGCCAAAGCCTATAGCTAAGAGTACAAAAAGATGTATCTCAAAAGCAGTTAGAAAATACTCTCCCCTCAGCAGTTCAGATTCTTGAGTGAATGACAGATACTGTGAGTAAAGCACACTTTTACAACATTTATGTCAACGAGATTTGTAGATTTGTCACCTGCTAGATTGTCAAGCATGTAGTTCAGTAGCTTTCGAGTTCCATCTGGATCTTGGTAGAGGCTGAGAATATCTTGTGATAAAGGATTGCCTGCCAACCAAATAAAACAACAACCGGGTGATTAGCCGCCTGGCTTTCTCGAGGTTTCCCAATAAAAGAAAACCTCCCATAATGAGAACAGACAAACCGACCTAAAAGATCTTCACATTACTTAACTCCCTAACTCTAGAATACCACTGTAGCAGGTGCTATACAGATAGCCAGTACCTACAGACTTTCCTCCTTCAACTCACTTCAGTCAAGACAGAATAAGTTAAGAAGTCTATTTATCTATTTTCAAATTTGAAATAAGTTTATAATGGAGTTTAAGAGCATTAACAAATAGTGTTATTTTCCAAACTGGCTGGTCATCTTCGCTACGAGCTTAATATCTAAAATAAATTGTAAGAAAGTGTTGAGATAACACAGAAAGCTTTTGAGCCCAACTCTCAGTAGTTCAAGAGTACTTCTAGGAATATTTAACTGTAAAGAACTCACCTTTCAAACCTAGGGTTTGTAGCTGGAAGAGCCGTCCAAGTTCATAAGGCAAAACCCGTAACAGATTGTTATTTAAAAGCAATTCCCTGCAGCAAATGCAAAAACATTTTTGATGGGGATCACTTCAGAAGAAAACTCTTAAGGGACTGTATGCTGCCCCTTTTCAAAGATGGCACTTTCCATTCTGAATTTTTTGTATTACAGAAAGATATGCCAATCTTCCCATTTCACAGCATAACTGAAATACACCCATTAAAAAAAAAAACACAAAGACAAAATTAAATCAGGGAGAAGTTACACAGCAGCCAATCCCCAAGTCTCAAACTGCGAATGTTTCAAAGCAGAATACTACACAGCATATAGATATCTATCCGTACCGATCAGAAGAAAGTAATAACAAAAGTAATTATTAGAACTAAGCCTTTGCACCAATCTTGAATTTTTCAGAAAAATTAAATTCAAGAACAGAAAGTCAAAAAGCACTCCATCCCGACCAAACAGAGTTTTGGAAAGTTAACCAGAATAATTTATCTCACCTGAGAGATACCATGTTTCCTAGTTCTGCTGGTAAACTTCTGAGTTTGTTGGATGACAGATCCAGGTAAACCAGATTATGAAGCTTGGCAATATCAGGTGGAATGCGAGTAAGATTATTGTCATTGAGGTGTAGAGCCGTCAAGTGCGTCAGGGACCAAAGTGACGTACTTAAGCTACGCACTCTACCTAAAAGAGAAAAGTAAAGAACCGCTTCTTCAGTTGGCTTTACACTCTCAAATTACTGGATGCAAACTCCGGGGCATGTCAGAATTCCCATTTGCAGAGCTGGTTGGGATTTCCAGTGTGGGAACCCTATCACGTCAACGCAATACTCAATGACGCCCGCAGAAAATACACTCACGTGATCTGAGCAGGTTTTAAATAATCATCTAACACTCCCTGTTAAAAGGGTGGAGATAGAGGTACAGTTCCATGGAAGCAGACATGCTACCCAAAACACCAAATGAACTGGAAGCGAGCAAGAAAGGCTTGCAGGCAACCTGGTAAATTAAGTCATGTTCCTCCTCCACTTCAGAAAAACCCTTTGCACTACAGGATCTCCTATCGGGAAGGATCTGGTACAATTTTTGCACGCTGCAACTCTGCCGAGCAACAATTCAAAACCAAATCAACTCACCCGAGATCTCTAATTCGGCCCAGTGAGACTTCTTCCCGTTGGCTACCTCTTCGGCTGACATGATGGTGTAAATTCTGCGAGGATCTGGAGGATCATATTTTTCCTTTGGCATCCCTGTTAGTCTGCAAGACCACCACAACCGTTACTATATGCCACTTAACAACCTTTCTTCATTTCTGTTGTTTAAGAAATAGTCTAACACTTGATATAGGAAATGTTAGTTTACAGAAAAATTACTAAATATTTATTTTATCTTTCTATTTCTACCTATTTTCTAATTCATTTCCTTGTCCCTACTGACACTCCGCAAAAACACACGTACTGAAGTTTACCGAAGTTCACAGAACCTGTAGACAAGATGATGGCATTTCACTCATTCACCGTACGGATTACTCTCTCCTGTAGTCTACATAGGAAACAACTGAGAGGAAGACTCTTCTCTGCTTTTTACAGCAGTAATTTGCAGCATGCAAAAGTCCCAGCTTTGCACTTCACTTACCCAAGAACTGAAATTGCAATTTGAAGGGGAATAAACTGATTTTTTTTTTCCATTAACTATCCAGCTTTTCTGTTTCATGTTTTTTCATGCTTAAGTATCAGTCAAGGCCTTTTTATTACTAACGACCTAGGAGTGACAAAACAAGGTGCAGGTAAAATTCCCATGAGCAGTTCTTCTGCACACAGGGTTACCAGCCCCGTCTTAAAACCCTGACTATCCGAATATCGCATGTACTCACGTCTAAAAAGTGACTTTGCACACAGACAAGTTCAAATGAACTAATTTGCCAGGTACTTGCCAGAAGAGCGCTCTGATGTCCCAACCGAAAAAAATATACACTTTATACAGATCATATGGTGAGACGCTTTTCCTCTATACCTTTCTGGGCGACAGCACTAAGAAAGGCTGGAGGGAGTTATTTAGTTTATCACATAAGACTGACTGAATCAGCTGTTCATTGGTCTTGTCACCCTACTCCTTTCCTCCCCAGACACACAAAACATACAAAAACTTGATTTTATACAAATTCAAACTGACTGGTCTACAGAAGGCATTTTTTCCTTATCTGTATGCCTCTATTACAACTGGCTCCAACAGGTGTGAAGATCTTAAAATAACCTTAACTTGTTGGGTTCGCTGAACTGACAAGTCAAAAACCCATGAAGAATTTGAGGAAACCAGTTCAGCTTATTTGCAACTAAAGAAAGGTCACGCGTCCGATTTATGAGCTGCCAACAGCAGTTTTTCAAATGCAGACTAACCATGGATGCGGACAGCAACATAGATTTCTGGCATATTACAGAAACATGCACTATCAGAGCTCCTCTTTGCAAAGTGTCTCAGCTGGGAAACTACTTTTTTTATTCGCTGAAGAACATACAAGGAAATTCTATTTACACTGAATTAAACCCCCAAGTTTCAGGCACGTGGCAGATGCAAACCACACTTCTAATTATAGCAAACTTCTATTTACAGGTGAAGTCATATGGCAATCAAGAGCTGCGGCATAAGAGGATTCTGCACTCCTGCTGCCAGGCTGCAGCAATTCAGTCCAGGGAGGTGAACGAAACGGATTAGGTAAGGACACTGGGTTAGACCTGAAAAGCTTAGATCCCCATTTCAGAGCCCGAAAATTAGGAACAGACTCGCCAACAAAATCAAAGTTACGCACTACACTTCAGTACTGCTGATTCTCCTGTGCTCGAGTTTTCCGGGATTTAATGTTAAAAACACACGCAGGCAGAACCAGGTGGCATCCCCCGGCCTCGCAGCCCTTTCTGCGAGTCACCAGAGCCCTATTTCTATTTTTCTCACGGGGTTCCTTGTCCTTAGACGTGCACCAGATGGATCCGCATTGCATCGCGCCTCGACGCC